ATATTAATGTGTTAAAACATATAGGTAAATTTAAATAATTTGATTTATAAAATTAAAGATTTTTTTGGACAGGAATTGCCCGAATAAGTAAAAATCGAACAATTATTTGTTCGATTTTCCAAAAATCAGTTCAATATTTGAATTATCCTGTATAGGCATCGTGTCAAAAATTGAACTGATAGAGATAGATATATTACAATATTATTAGTCACATTTTGCAGGCTTTATATACACTCATGACAAAAACTTGAATACGAGTATAGATATGAATAACACGCCGCATAGCGGTAAACGACTGAACTATACTATTTCAAATAATAGAATTTTGTAATACTTTGTCATATTCTGCTTGGTTTTTGCTGCCAATATGCAATTAGATTGTGCACGCCAGATCTTGCTCAGTTTGTACCGACAATCTGATGCCAGTCTGTCAATCATGTCAGCAAGCTTTGCTCGGTTTTTGACTTTTGCTATCAAATTATGTCAGCAGATTTTGTTACATTTCTGCTGGCATTGTGGTGACATCAACGGATAAAACAGATCTTGTATCAAATTTGCATTCGTTTTGTCAACAAAATCTAGCAAGTTTTCATAAAATTTGTTTTTGGCAAACTTGGCTATCTGGGCAATTACAGTATTAATATATAATAATAATATATATTAATATGTTAAAACATATAGGTAAATTTAAATAATTTAATTTATTATATTAAAGATTTTTTCGGACAGAAATTATCTGAATAAGTGAAAATCGAACAATTATTTGTCCGATTTTCCAAAAATCAGTTCAATATCCAAATTCCCTGTATGGGAATTGTGTCAAAAATTGAACTGATAAAAATAGATATCACAATATTATTAGCGGCGTTTTGCAGACTTTATATGCACTCATGACAAAAACTTGAATACGGGTATAGATAGTGAATAACGCGCCGCGTAGCGGTAAGCAACTGAGCTATATTATTTTAAATAATAGTTAATTTGCAGATTCTGTTCAGTTTTTGCTGCCAATCTGCCGTCAGATTCTGCACGCCAGATCTTGCTCAGTTTCTGCCGACAATCTAATGTCAGTCATGTCAGTAAGCTTTGCTCGGTTTTTGACTTCAATTTGCTATCAAATTATGTCAGCAGATTTTGTTACATTTCTGCTGGCATTGTGGTGACACCATCGGATAAAACAAATCTTGTATCAAATTTGCATTCGTCTTGTCAACAAAATCTGTAGCAAGTTTTCATAAAATTTATTTTTAGCAGACTTGGCTATCTGGGATGTATGAGATTAAAAATATATGCACATTGTGTTATTTTTACACTTTTTTTCAGTTGTTTTAATAATTTAACATTTGAATTCAATTAACACAACAGTAATATGTTAAATAAACACATGAATGTATTAAATATTTAACACATAAATTTTAACCGGCATATTTTTTAATAAGAAAATACAAATTTTCCAACAGTGTAGGTTTGTCCCGTTGTAAAAAGCGAAAGAGAGAATTTGCCATTATACAATAATGAAAAATGGAACAAAACTGAAAAAATATCAATTTTACCAAAAATAGAAACAATTTGCGAATCATCGAAATATCGATGGATTTAATTTTCCATCCGATAGAACAATCAGGAATAAACAGTCAGAAAATTTGGAAACTTTCCATGAGATTTATCGATTTCAATTTGTTTAAAAAAAAACAGAGAAAATGTTAGGTGTAATACTTTGTGTCAAAATTTTCTTTCGACAGTTTCACATTGTTATCGACGTATTTTGGTGAAAGTTAGAAACAAATATACGTAAAGACAATCAGAGAAATAGCGTATTATCTCCGATAAATACCGTTTTTTCGTCTGTAAAGATATTGCTGATTTATATAAAGTATAAAGTAACGTTCGCATAGTAAAAGTGTTTATATTGTAACGAGAATTAACGCGCACGTTTTGTTACAAAACGTCGTATTTACAACGACTCAGAATAAAACCCTTATACCCCCCCATGGTGTTAGCGTAATATTACAGGGTTAATATAGTAGTTTTATCAATATATATAAAATTCTAACTCGAGTAATAAATTTTAAACCTATTCTACCATAGTGTTCCAGTGAACGATGGTCTCGAAATTTGTGATTGATTGTAATCTGTAAGAAGAGGAATATTTAATACGCAAACAAGATTTTTGAGGGAGGGGGGGGAGGTAAGGTAATGGCAGCTCAATTTACAATATATATATCGTTGTCACATACATATTATCTTAAATTTTACTTGAATAAAGTTGACGATTATTAAGGTTCGTGATGAATTGTTTCTCCAGAATCTGTGTTCACAATGAAACTTCAAAAGTCGAGAACTCAAATAACAATATATCTATGATATACATATGTGAACTTTTAAATAAATAAAATCTTAAATTATTAATCGTAAAAATATTTTTATAGTTATCACATAAGAGAATTTTCATAGAATTCTTTCATTGATGAGTGAATTATCTTCATTTGTGTTATGCACTACTCGATATAATCATCTTGTACATAATTTATAACAGGTGTATCGCGTATATAAGTTTTGCGATAAGTGCAACATTTAATTTAAATGCGCGTAGACTCGTTTTATTTGTACATATATGTACTGTCAATTACCCGAAACAATTAATACACGACG